CCCGTCCCCCAAGTGCCCCCCTCCCCCGGGGGGTGTCTCCCCAGGACTAACCCCCCCCTGCCATATTCCCCCTTCCCCTTGGGGGGGTCTCTCCAGGACTAAACCCCCCCTGCTGTGTCCCCCCTTCCCCTGAGGGGGTCTCTCCAGGACTAAACCCCCCTGCTGTGTCCCCCCTGTCCCCAGGGCTGAGCACAGCCAGCAGCCTCTCGTCCCCATCGGGGCTCTCCGAGGGTCCCGGCTCCGTCCCGCTGCCCCCCGGCCCCCCTGGCCCCTCCGAGGATGAGAGCTGGGGGGTGGCAGTGCCCCCCAGCCCCCCCGAGGACGCCCTGGCCCTGCCCTCCGACACGCTGCAGGTAAAGCTGGGGGACAGCCGGGGCTGGGGACACGCCTGGAGCAGGAGAGCCCCGACGTCCCTTGTCCCCAGGCCGAGGTGGTGACGCTGGCGCGACAGATCATCGAGGCCACCCCTGAGCGCATCAAGCAGGAGGCACCGGGGGGGCCCCCGGGGGCGCTGGGAGCACTGGGAGCAGCAGGAGGGACCCCGGGCACCACGGGGACCCCGGGGCCAGCGGGGCCAGCGGGGCTGGGTGCTGCCATGGCCTGGCTGGCCACCTACCTGGAGAGCGTTGACCGTCCCCCCGCGCCCGCCCACAGGTACCCCCGGGGCTGGGGGGTGTCCAGGGGCACCCTCAGCTCCCTGGGCTGGGGGGGTCACCCCCGTTCAGCAGCACCCCGGGGTGCTCTCGGGGGTCCCGGTGCCTGTATCCCCTCGGGAGGGTCCTTTAGTGGGGGTCTTCCTCATCCTGCAAACCCCTGGGGGGGGTCACCCCCATTCAGCAGCCCCCCGGGGTGCTCTCGGGGGTCCCGGTGGCTGGGACAGGCTCTATCTTGTTGGGAGGGTCCTTTAGTGGGGGTCTCCCACACCCTGCAAACCTCTGAGGGGGGGTCACCCCCGTTCAGCAGCACCCCGGGGTGCTCTCGGGGGTCCCGGTGCCTGTATCCCCTCGGGAGGGTCCTTCAGTGGGGGTCTCCCACACCCTGCAGACCCCTGAGGGCCGCCCCCGGGCTCCGGGACCCCGCAGCGTCCCCCTGCGGCCACTCGGTGACACTCCATCTCCTTCCTGGGTGCGTCCCAGCCTGGGCGGGGGGTGCCAGCCCTCGCCCCCCTGACCCCCGCCCTGTGCTCCCCAGGGCCGAGGTGGCCTCGCGGGGGTCCCCGGGGGTCCCCGAGCGGCCTCCCCCCCCTTCGGCCGCGGGCTGGGCCGAGTTCCTGAACGCGTCCGGGGGGGCGCGGGGCGAGGGGGGGGCCGTGGCGCTGCTGACCCTCAGCGACCAGGAGCAGCACGAGCTCTACGAGGCCGCGCGGCTGGTGCAGGGGGCTTTCCGCAAGTACCGGGTGCGTGCCCCCCCTCCCCAGCACCCCAAAATCCCCCCCCCCATGCCCCCGGGGGGC